AAATATCAGGTGACAGCTAAACTCATCCAGTTTAATTTTAATCCGAATTAGGGAAACTTCAGCGGGGGTAGGGAAATATCAGTACTTATTTTTACTTATTGTTTTTTTTTTTTTTTTTTTTTTTTTTTAAACAAAATCCAATTCAATAATCTGTAAGTTTATTAAACACAGTGTGAATGTAATATTCTGCCACCACCCTTCCCATTTAATAGCTCAATTTAGTTCTTGAGCTTATGGTGTGATTAACAGAAAATACAAGTCTGTGTTGTTAAACATTAATTCAGTTGATGAGCAATAAACTACCTTATTCTCAATCAAAACCACTATGCAAATGTAGTGGTAAAACTGCTCAACCGACCGAGAGCAGAGATATTAATTAATTAAATTAATTCTAAGAACGGAATCTGCTGAAGAGTAATAACCACATTATTCTCAATCAGCAACCACTATGCTAATTTAGTGGTGCTCTGCCCTCCCCGATCCGGAGAGGCAGAGACTTTTAATGAATTCAGTACCCTTTATTTTAACAACAGCCAAATTCAACAACCCCTCAGTTTATGAAACACAGCGTGACGTAATATTTCGTATCACGTTTCCCGTTAATAAGAGTTCTGTTTAGTTCCAAAACTCATAATGGTGCGATTTAAAAATAATACGACACTGTGCTCTGTTTCGTGTGCTGCTCCCCACAGGGGGGGGGGGGGAATTACCCACACCCTCTTCCTGCAGCAGCAACAGGGTGATTTCAAGGCGAGTTGATTTACCTAGTTAAACCGTTGAAATCTCCAGAATTCGGCGATTCGTTTCAGTACAAATCTTTACATTGCTTTTAAACCGAAGTTCCACATGACTGATGCCCTCTTTAAGGTCTCTCCGAATATTTGCCGTGCACACACACAGAGGAAACCAAAAATATTGCATCTATCTGTTCCACAGGTAATTTTATACCGTCAATCACAGAGTCTGGCGAGGCAATGTCAAAATATAGATTTGAAATTACACTCACCAGCTCGACGATTTGTTGGTAACCGTTCGCGACGCCAATTGTGAAGTTAAAACTTCTTTGCAGCAATGTTGAGCCAATCATGAAATGAGTGAAACTGGATTCGCCCGTCAATACACTGATATTTATTGAGAGCCTCAGCGGCCGGTGAGTTCACAGCATATCACAGTTCTCCTGTAAGATACCAGCAAACTCTGAACTCTAAAAGCGCCAAACACCCAACTATACAGACAAGAAGAGGAGGGCCCTAAAACACGCGGGTTTTCCTTTAATGCATGCCAGATGTCGAGACAAAGACTTGTTGCATTGTAACCCCACATGGGCCAAGCTTCTCCCCCACAAGACATCAGATGACCTCTTGACCTGTGTCTTCCTGAGAAGCTATGGATCACATTACAGGCAGGAATACACTTTAACCATTAAACAGATTCCTGAGGACAGTTCACTAAACTCTATATACTTTAACAAAACCAAAATATTCCTTTACAACTATGAATACCTAGTAATCAGTGTGCGAAATACCCGTCAATAATCGGGGGGGTCCCCATCTCCCGTTTATTGCGCAATATACCGGTCGAAGATTTCTCAATATGCAGTAGGCCTATGCAATATTTCATGGATGCAATCCAAGACAATCAGTAGTAGCAGCGTTTCTCAACCGGGCGCTGTCAAATAATTGTATATTCTAACGTTCATATGAATGAATACGCGACCGTTAAAGAGCCATCTGTTTTCGATTCTATGCGAGGAAATGGGAGCAGAGCTGGTCTCACACACACACACACACACACACCCACACACAGTCTGCGTGGTCTGCGTGTAGGGAGGTGCGGGCCTGCACACACCCACAAACACACACACTAACTTGAACGCCAAGGCTAATTATGCTATTCTTAACCCCGGAATCCACACAGGACATCCGCACACGCTCATCTTATGCACAGCAAAGATCGAAAAAATAGTCTTTTACCTTAAGTGAGAATAGACCAAAGATGCCTTGGCTCGACTTCTTCTCGTTGCCGTCCTGGTTTCCAAGAAGAAGGGAGACGATGTCCTGCTTTAATCCAGCTTTTCACGAACGGCACTGGGTCGAATTTGTCCAAAGGGGGTCCGTTTAGGTCCCCAAACAGAAGCGAAGACAGGCTCTCCTCGCGCAACCTCTGGTTGTCGGTGTTATTCACGGCGGAAAAGCCTCTTTCGCACTCAGCAGACGTGGGGAGGTAAGTGCGACTTGCTATGCATAGCCGTTCCAGTGTTTTGCCCGGTGGAGTGCCCTGAAATTTCCAGTCTCTAAACTGCCCCATGGCCTCCCCGGCTGGTTCTCCGAGCGATTTAGCCAGACGGTGCACTTCTTGTTCGCCAAACAAAGTCTTCCTGCTCTCCAGGCCAAAAGCGCTTATCAAGAGCTTTGAGCGTCTGGACCAAGCTTGACTCCAGTAAGCGCTTGGTTAGAGTAGCAACCACCGATTCATAAAAACGAGGCTTGTTTATTTTCCCCCTGCCTTCTGTCAGCTCTACGTCCTTAAAAAAGCCCGAGGAGACGCCCTGTTCAGCCTTCTTTGTTGATCTCCCCCCGGTCGTCTTCATGGCGGTCAACACATTTATGGTTTGTTTGATGTGGACACTTGAGTCCACAAGTGTCATTTCTCTTCTCTGCAGCTTGAGAGACAGGCTCTGGAGTTCACGCAGGATGTCTTTCATGACAGCCAAATCTTCCACGAATCCTGAGTTGGTTAGGTGCTTGAAAAGTCCCTTGTATTTTTGCCTCTCAAGATCATTGCGTGATGCGTTCTCACTGGATGTTTTAAAATGGAGTGCTAGTGCGGGGAAATCTTTCCATGCAGCTTTTACTGTTTTAAAGCTGCTGGCAACCCATCTGATGGTGAAAATTTGACCTATTTTCAGTATTTCCATGTTGAGCTCGGCCGCTGCTTCTTTCAGCAATCTGGAATTCCTGGTTGACTGATTGTAGAGTGAGTATAAATGTGAAATAAATATCTCAAACTGATTAGTGCCACCCACTTATTTAAGAGCATTTTAACTGACAGTTCTAGTCTGTGCGCCAGGCAGTCTACAGACTGCACGTTCGGAAACTTGTTTTTGAGCCTGACGACAAGCCCACTGGCTTTTCCCGTGAGCACTGCAGCCCCATCGGTGGCTATGCTTATTAGCCAAAAAGTCATCATCCATTCCAGCTTTATATAGACTCGCCCTCATTGAGTTATAAATTGATTCAGCATCGACCCCATCTGTAAGTTCCACTATATCCAGGAAGGAACACATTATCTACATCCCCCTTACCACTGACATCACATCTTACGTAAATGATTAGATAGGGACGACCGTGAACGGTACTTTCATCAATTGTGATTGATACCTTTGAATCCATTTCTTTCACATTAGAGACGAACTTGCGGCGCATTTCCTTTGCAATGTGACTTATTATTTCTGCGCATGCATGGTCAGATTTGTGTATATTCCCAACTTCGGCTCCATTCAGCTCCTGCATTGTCATGAGGGGGTTGAGCTTTTTATAAGATAGCCTTTCCTTTGCTACGGTGTAAGCTGTTCTAAACGAGACTGTTGTTTTCTTAAGTAAATCGGACTGTACATCAATGAAACAGTTTGGGAGGGTTTCCTTTGTCTTTCATCTGTACTATTTCCACTGACCTCGCGTGGGCCTGGCTGTCCCTGTGTTTGTAGATCTTCTTTCGTAGCTGTTTTGCATCAGGGCTAGTAATATCACCATTGATCCATTCTGCCACGAGGTGTAAACCCGGTCCCTTTAGCAGCAACGTTTTTGGGTAACACTTTACAATAAGGTACACAAAATGTGCTTAGTTACTGCTTAGTTACTGAGGAACTACTAGATAGTTAATGAGTAGTTCCTCAGTGACTGCGATTGAGGAACTGATGGTTAGTTACTGGTAAACAGACTGGGGGTACTGTATTAACGAATCATTCGTTAATGAGTAGTTCCTCAGTGAACTTATGGTTAGTTACTGGTAAACAGACTGGGGGGTACTGTATTAACGAATCATTCGTTAATGGTTACTTAATGAGTAGTTCCTCAGTGACTGCGATGGATGGTTAGTTAGTTACTGGTAAACAGACTGGGGGTACTGTATTAACGAATCATTCGTTAATGAGTAGTTCCTCAGTGAACTTATGGTTAGTTACTGGTAAACAGACTGGGGGGTACTGTATTAACGAATCATTCGTTAATGGTTACTTAATGAGTAGTTCCTCAGTGACTGCGATGGATGGTTAGTTAGTTACTGGTAAACAGACTGGGGTACTGTATTAACGAATCATTCGTTAATGGTTACTTAATGAGGAGTTCCTCAGTGACTGCGATGGATGGTTAGTTACTGGTAAACAGACTGGGGTACTGTATTAATGAATCATTCGTTAATGGTTACTTTATGAGGAGTTCCTGGGAGACTTTGATTGAAGCAATGGTCCGCTGCAGCAGGGCACATTTAAACCTGCCATCTTCGGCTGGCTTGGGTCCCACCCTGGATCATCTGGTGGAGGTGGATCCGATTTACCTTACCATTACTTAGGCCGTTTGGGTATGGTAAACTCAAGGAACGCAAACAAAAACAGTAGTTACCCATTACCTAATGCTTACCTTACCATTCGTTAAGCAGTATGTGTCCCCTCAAGTAATGCATGAAAAACAGTAGTTACCCATTACCTAATGATTACCTTACCGTTACTAAAACAGTACCCATTAAGTAATGCTTACCTTACCATTCGTTAAGCAGTGTGTCCCCTCAAGTAAAGTAATGCATCAAAAACAGTAGTTACCCATTACCTAATGATTACCTCACCATTAGTTAAGTTTAACAAACAAACAAACACTGTTGATGACAATGACGGATCTACAGCCACTGAAGTTTTACATTTTTATTCAAACAACGATGAACATAACAACAACAAAAAATGGAAATAAAAATACTTTTTATAAAAGAAAACTAAAAACAATTGCAAACCAAAAAAACATCCATTCCTTCCTCACTTCCCCTTTGGATTAATGGATAATAGTCCTCCATTGGTCTTCAAGTCCTGGACCTTCCCCTCTAAATGTTGGTCCTTTATGGCAGCTTTACACTTCTCAGTGAAACGGAGAAGGGTTTCCCCCTTCTTCAGTGTTCCCCGGATATCTTGGTAGATTCCCGGGTTCACGGCATGCAGTTCTGCAATTCCTGCAGTGTCGGCAATGGTTTTGCGGTCCACTCCTACCGCTCTGTAAGCCGCCGTTTTATTATTCCCCTTGTTTACCGCCTCAAGAACACGCTTGTAGCGGCTTATGGCGTCTTCTGGGGTCAGGACTGAAACAGAAAAAAAGACAAATATGTAACTATTTAACAACAGTACTTTGTTGTTGCCTATCCTAATGATGTCTGTAGTGCAGAAATCAGTTTGGATATGGGTTTATTTATTGATAATATTGTTGTACTAGTGTTATATAGTGGTAGTGTAATCCTTACATACAAAATTGTGTAATGAATTGGTGTAGTGTAAAGGTATTACTAGTCGTGTAGCTTTGCTCAAAGTAATGTATTTGTATGTGTTTGGGGTGTGTACCTTTTATATACAGAAGTTAGGTTTGGGCAATCAGCTCTACTTTTATCCAATCATGTTTAATAATGATAACTGATAAGACGATCCACAATGTGGATTTAACGCTCTATCGACATTGCCCCGTTTCTAATTTATAACGCATCAATATTGCCAAGTTTTAGCCTGGCATCCTCATGTCTCAGCAGCCTTTAAATGGAACAGTTTGGAGAATCTGCTCTCCCTGTTATTTTATTAAAATCTGACACTGCAGGTTAATGTAAGCGTGCAGAGACCAGTTGTTTGGAAACACTGGTGTCGCTCTGAACAGAGCGACATCACAGCATGTTCTGTTTAACATTATAGGCCTACTTATATTCAGGGATGCAAACACCCGTATGGTGAAATAAGAGAGAACTATTAGAAACAGAAAAAACAGCGTAATATACCATCTGACAAAGGCCTGCGCTATAATGCGTCAATTAACTGGCTATTCTTTATAATATACGGATAGGAGACAGAGATGTTAAGTTACAAATAAAGGGTTTTTATTACTATTTAGATCAGGGGTGGGGAACTTTTTTCTCTCAAGGGCAATTTCAATTTTTACAACTTTCTCCAAGGGCCGTACAAATTATTGAACTCAATTTCTGCTTAAAAATACTAAAACCAAAGCCCATTCATTTCACCTTTCTTTCATGCTGTGCAAAGAAAAAGCAACCTCTTAATCCAGATATTTTACCATGACTCATGCATGCATACATACACGGTTGTGGCATGACCACCAAAACAGAAAGATATGGACACAAGATGTGTGCAAATTTGTTTTTAAATATTGAAGTTGAAAGCATCAATCTGGTGTACTTTGAGAGCAAAATGAAGAGATCTATGGATACATCTCTCAACACCCATATGAAACAGAACTGTAAGCAGATTACTCTTTTTCTTTATGGATATTTTACAAATCACTCCTTTTTAAACTGTATTCTTGTTATTTTAAAAAACGTTTTTGTTACTGTCAAAGTATTTTATACCTGTATACCAAAACTACAACTCTTCGCTTCTCCACGAATTACACAAGTCACCCAAATCAGCGTCAAGGTTAGCCTGTTTTTAACGCAAAAAACAATGCTGTGTTTTGAATATCGGGGCCTTAACACCAGGTACCTCCTACTCAAAATTCCCAGCATCCGTTGAGCAAAATTGGCTGCAGAACCCAGGGTGAGGATGCTCAGAGTACATAGCCCGAATGACACCTCTTTTCCCATGTCCTACGTATCCTGCACAACACAAAAGTGAAACATCTGATCTACAGAAGGCTGTAAATGTAATAATACATTTTATTTCAATCATTTGTATGTATAATGTTATGAATGATCTGCTATCTTCAATACTATGGTTAAGTGATATTTAAATTAAACTTTAAAAAATCTATATACAGGCTGTCACCATATTTTGGAATTGTGAAAAGACTGGCAAGCCACTTCCCTTATAAGCTTTACAGTTACCTGGATTTTATTCCACCAGCCCTGCAGATATTACACTAGCCTACAAACCTCAATAGGCATGACTCCTAAAATCCCTAAATCTGTTATTTTTTCACACATCTTAGTCCTTCTTCTTAAAGTCCTTAAAGTTTTAGTTTAAAATAGAGATACTTTTTAAATATTGTTCTATAATGATTAAATGTCAGTGAATAACAAAATGTTTAATTATATAACTTTTACATCTCATTTAAAAAAGGTGGTTGCTAACTTGATCAGTGGCATACTGTGACAATAACTGGGACTTCAGCTCAGCCACACTTAGCAGACAGACCAAAAAAGTGTCAACACGGCAAAATATTTAGCTATGGATAAACGGCATACTGTGACAACAGCAGCTGGCTATGGAGTGCAACTGTTGCATGAAATGACGGCAACCACCACACAATTACATTACAATTATAAATATATTAATTTAGAGTTTGTCTTTAACTGTGTGAGACTACTACTGATACTCTCATGGAGCACTAGATAATTGTCTGTTTGGAAGCTGCTTTAATATATTAATGTGAGTCAAAAGTACATTTTACACATATATTCCTGCTTACATGATGTAGTGGGACATCCTGATATTTTTAAGTTGAAAGTGCAATATCCAAATTGCAAGAAGCTGCAATTATTATTTTTCAGCTAAATTTGAGAATACAAAATTATTTCCTTTTTCTTCAGTAAAATCTGGACTTTCACTCACTCTAGATCTAATCAATTACAGGTGGCAGCCATCAGTAATTTAGGTTACTTTGAAAAAAACAAATGGTGACAGCACTTAATTGTCTAAAGCTAACTGTGAGTGACGTGCACTGATACATTTTTGAGGAAATATAATCTATCTAACAATCTATGTAAGCACTGAAAGCACCTGAAGCAGAAATACAGAACTTATTTATCTGTCATTGTATGCCAACCTGAACAATCTTTGAATTGCATTCTGCAAAACTGACAAGACGAAATGCAAAACATGGTGGACATTTCCTCGCGATAGGACTCGGAATGGTGAAACCAATTTGTGTCCACACCTGTAATAAGAAAGTATAAAACAATAAGCCTAACGTTTAATTTAGCAAGCTTATTGAAATTGAATTTGTAAAATACAATATTTCTTACTCAATATCCACAAAAAGTGTGCCCTTTTCCGGAAAGCGTCCTGGCTGACGGTATTTCTTACTTTCCAACAAACCAGAGAAAGCGTCAAATATGCCATGTCTCCAGCGTCAAGAACTACCTCCAAAAGAATGCTCTGCAGCAATTCTTGCGGTAGCTATGGACATATTTTTTCAAGAACCAGGTTAACAACAGAACTGAATTTCAAAACAAATATTTGTGTATATTAATATATTGATATGCTCCTTCTTCATAACCAACCAAGAGAAGTGGTTACCTTAAGAATCCAGCAACATGTCTTTCTTGTGTCCACCATATTTTTTGGGCGCTCAGCTCTTTTATTGAATCCAACCACTTAAAAACACAAAAACAACCAGAAGATGATGCAGGGCTGGCTAAACTTTACTCTAGTTATGGTTGGGCTGATGGACAATGACATCATGCATCAGCCATGTATGACAGCCATCGCCGTTGGATACCTGACCATCATCACATCATGAGTTAATAAGGCGCCCTCCCCTCCCTGCCCCACAAGAACGGGTAGAGTTTCCTTTTCGGAACAGTTAACTGCGGTACTCACATTACTTTAAACAGCCATAAAGTGGGAGGATAAGCTCAGGTTGATGTATAATAGTTAAACAGCTGACTCCATTATTGTAACACCTATTACAGCAGAAATAAACAAAAAAGCATTGGTAAATGAAGCGCAGAGTTTAGTTTGAGCCGTGGTCCCGGAGCTGATCAAGCACCGCCGCAGAGGACATCGTCTATGTCCAGTTGGGTACACATCGCCCAATTGTAACTTGAACATTTGTTGAAATTAAAGACTTAATGCATACTAAAAGTATTTATTGAGCTGTAAAATACATTGTACGACTGTACTTCAACACCAGACTGCATTCGTTCCCTTAATGATCCCCTTGATGATAACACGCTAAGGCAAGTAGCGACACTCCCTCACTAATTAAGTTTAATGTACTTTAAGTGCATGAGCAAATCCGTTTCAGTTTAGTGTTTTCAGTATGAACACAAACAGTCTGACAGCACCTGCTAATGCAGGTTAGCCCTGTTCACTAGCTGTTCCTTCTACACTGAGCAATGGTCAGTCTGTCACATAATTCACTGTAGTCCTATCTCCTTACTTCCCAAGTCAGACACTGTGTAGGTGGCCAACGTACCTCTCTTTGCAGTCTTTCCTTTTGTCTTCTTCGCTTTTTTTCCTCTTTTTTTCTTGCCGTATTTGTTTTTCTTGTTCTTCTTCTTCTTACTCTTCCTCTTCTTCCCTCTGTCTGACGAAGAGGATGAGGAGGAGGAGGAACTGGAGGAATTGGAGGAGGTGGAGGATGAAGAGGAGTTGCCTGCCCCTATTTGGTCACCTTCAGAAGTAACTGGCGCCTTAACTGATGCCATTTTTAGAAGGGCCAAAGCTGAAACAAACAAGAGGATTAGAAGATAACTATTGTTACCACTAAGGGTCAGAACATTTACAATAATCTTTAAACCTTATATTGTGTGTTCAGAGTTTCACGCAGATCGGTGAAAATTCATATAGTGTTTTTCACTACATTTGAAATAGTGAAAAATATCGTGACCTGAAATGTTAGGTAAGTGAAACAATTTGTTCTTTAGGATTTATGGAATATGTGAGATAATTTTCATGACTCTAGTTCAAACGGGGCATGTGATATGCCTGTTCCAAGTTTCCCCCGAACAAACGGACTCAACATATTTTAACAAGTGACTGTTCTTTCCCTCTCAATCCAACCCTCTACTGTCGGTTGATAAGTGAGAGAAGTGAGCTGGAGCCTGATCTGTCAAGCTCCACCCCACCATTTGGTGCTGTCCGTCCTATATGCTTGTCATGATATGTTTGCAGTGAAATGACTGAATTGCTGATGCAACTAGTCATCTGCAAGCATGTATGGCCTCATGGACTGTGATGAGAAATGTTGTAGGGCTTGGTGTATGTGCCTGTTTTTTTTTTCTCAAAAGCTATCAGATGCCAATAAGTAATTATTTAATCATTATTGATTTGCTTACCCTCAGCCAGCTGTATCCTCAGATAGTCCCTTTCGCTTTCAACAGTTAATAATTTGTCCTTTGAAGCATCTAGCCTTATTTTCAAGGCATTATTATCTCTGTTTCTGCGCTTCAGAGCTGCTATGGCTGTGGGAGCTGCAGAAACATCTGTAATGACAAAAACGGCAAAAAAAACAACATTATCTTTTCTGTAGTTATTACACAAACGGTATGTATAGGCAGATTGTGGTTCCATGCCTTTGTTTAGCGTTTTCAAAAAATGTACAATAAAATGTCAAAATTATAGATCTAGGACCGCCTGTCTTGTCGTGAAGTTGCAGACATGTCATTGATCACATTTAATAGAGACTGTTGAATTCTATATTGGGACTTGCAACTGCATTTAAACACTGCAATACCTATGATAATACATTACAAAACATTACTATATTCACTTCAAGGCAACTGTAAGATCATTGATTCTGACAGGGGCTTCACAAGTAATTGCAAAAAATAACTTCAAGTTTTAATATGCACTCAACCACACAGAAGTAAAATGGGCTCTAGTACATTTGCACAAGCGTTTACATTTTCGTTATGTAATATTTTCTTGTTCTAGTGTATTGTGCAATATTATATATATATATATATATATATATATATAAAGATAACACAATCAAAAAACAGTAACCGTAGATAAAATGTAAATGTAATGCAATGTCACAACACAACCTAACCTTTAGTTGATGCTTTAATAGTAGACTGCTGTCCTGTGAATGCATCCGAGTCAGACCCATCACTGCAGTGCACTACAGCTTTAAGAGGGGAGACAGAAAGTTCATAAATTAGAAATAGTGTTGACAAAATGGTACATATAGCGATAGGGAATATTTGAAATTGTGTAAAGGTCCAAAATGCCAAATTAGACCAAAAAAACATGGATGTCGTCCAAACCACTATCTGCCCACCCTGACCTCTACCACCAACAAAGGTATGGCAAAGCACAGTGGAAGAATCTCCTCAACACAGGAGATAACAAGGGGCTTCACTTTGTGCATGTGACATCTTTAATCCACTATACGTTTACATATTGTTTTTTTTTACTGCTATCTGCTAAGCAACTACTTATTAGTACACCATCTGAGACTGAGTGGATCCTTAAAGTATGCTTAACATTTGAAAGCAAACACTTACCCATTTCCTTTGCCACAGTGTGGGAGCTGCATGGCTCTTCCTCAGACTGACCAGCCAAATATTTATCCGCTGTAAGATTATGGAGCACAGAAATAGTTGTTGATGTAGAGAGCATTACTATATGGAAGTATGTTTTGTTTTTTTTCAGCTATATTATAACTTCATTGGAACTATTTCAAAATTGGATATCTGAAAAGCCACTCTTGAATGAATGTATGAATGTACTGTTTTTAATTATATTTTCATTACATATCGCCCAATGCTGTGTTAAAATCAAAATACTCTCGTTTCTAGCGCCCTAATGTCATTTACTTATTTAAGAGTTAAGATAAAACGTTAAACCTTCGTAATTGAGATATTTCAGTTTATTTAACTAATTTAACCCATAACAACCCAGACCCATTTCTACTTTTGGGGAAATTAAGGGGAACATAATTTAGACTAAATAGACCACATTTCTGACAATGTGACATTGAACTTTAATGGTAAAGTAACTCTTATTTATAACTTAATTAATGAGGAGGATTTTTTGATTTAAATTTGTTTTAACATTCTTTGAATTGAAGAATAAAGAATATATTAACTAAATATAATTGGATCACCTAAATTAACTGAGCAGATCATACTCATATTTCTAATTGTGACATATGTGTTACTCCAGATTTACTGTGAAAGTTTAAGGTTAATGTCCCGATGTGACATCAGTGTCACAGCGATATTTATCTAATTTGTTTCATATCAATTTGATCAAGAAATGTTAACAGGTTCAATGTAACAAAGTACATGTTATGTAAGCATTTTAATTCTTAAATGGCTTGATTTGTACCTTTAGCAACCAAAAACAAGCCTCTGAAATGTACCTAGTTCTGTCACATGTCTTAGCCCGACACATGACCCACCAGACTTTTCAGGGTGTGTCACTTAAGGACTTTATGAGATAAAAACAAGTCTAAAGCTGTATAAGGAACTTTACAATACATTTAAATGTCATGTAAGCGCTTTGAGCTCCAGCAAGGGGCTTTATAAATGTAATTTATTATTATTATTATGTAACACGTGGGTTCTCGTGGTTTAGCTAGCAACCTCAAATCAGATAGCACAGAACAAAAAGTATAATAACATGTGTCAATTGAGATGATTTCGCGATGCAGTGTTACTGATTTCTGAAATGACAAAAATAAATTTCAATTCATACTTACATTCTGACACTAAACGCTTAGGGGGCCCCATCCTCTTTCGCTTGCTTCTCCTCGAGTCCATTTTCAGTTCTAAGCGTGTAGACTAGAGCATAGACTGTAGTGTACATATAAGATGGAAAGGTTGAGTTTTATCCATAGACTGTATATATAAAGGTTTTATCACTAGCCGAGATGCACGTGACAGGCTCATGGCCAATCGTAGCACTTGAATGCTATGAAGGGGCGTGTCTTGCATAGTGCTCCAGCCGGATCCCGATTTGCAGCGTATTAACACTTTATTACGGTTTTAATATTTTAATTGTATATCAGTGAATATAAAGAAGCTGTGCTTTGTCAATTGAACAAGGAAGATGAAATACCTGATTCAAAATATAAAAACTATTGGTTTGAATCCTGTGAACAAGAAATGAGGATCAGGGCCCTAGTGCGCCCAGCGGAGTTCCACTTCCGGTCTGGCCCAGCGGCAGCACATCTTGAACTACGCTGGGTGTTAGGTTTTGTGGACGGGCCGGTGCCGCAGTAACGCAGTAGTAACGCCGCAGTCAGGTTATAGGTTATCATGATGACCAGTGCTTGAATTGGAATGAAAAAGGTGCCAGTACTCTAAAATCAGCAACTTTTTCAAGTCAATTTTATATATACAGCCCACAAACAAGAATTTGGCTACTATAATGCTGGTGGGTTTGTCTCTTTACTACTGTATATTTTAGAAAGGTTCACTGTACTTAACATTTTTTATGATAGGCAGCGGATATGGCTAAAGCTCAGTAAGGTCAATATTAACTGAAAATATAGCAATCAAAGTCTAGATCTTCTGCTGAAGACACATGAAGCAGAGACCTTTCAGGTGAGAGCCCCTCTGGTGGTGTTCAACATTAATGACAAGGAAACAAAGCTCTGGTCAGAAGCATTTTTTATAAAAAGCTTTAACAAAATTAAGTATTTCTGTACATTTTGAATGCAATCTAACTTTCCAACTCAGAAAACGAAAAACGAAAAAGTGCCAAAAGTCTTCTCACATGGCTGAGCTGCTTTACAATATACTTCACCACTGAAGAATACAAATATGTATAAAGTAAACTATGATGCAATCTAACTTTCCAACTCAGAAAAATGATAAAGAGCATGAACAAAGAACATGTAAAAACAAATGCAAAATTTGCACAATCTAAAATGAGAAACTGTAACTGCAAGTAACAAAGTCTGAGCCATGGTAAAGAGTTACATTGAACACCAAGCTGATCAGATAACTCCCTGGTTGGTCTGAAGTCCTTCTATCTCCAGGATCTGTACAAATCGGCACATTATGCCAAAAGTCTTCTCACTGGGTGAGCTGCTTTGCAATATACTTCACATTGTTAGAAAAGGCTCCAGAAGGCCTTGGGGACATCAGTATCAGGGGCTGGAGCTGGACAGGCTCTTTCATCAGCACTTCTCCTTCCCTTTGCCAGCCAGGACCTCACATACTGTTCCGGATTGAACTGTCCTAGTGATGGTCCATTTAATGAAAACCAGGCTGGACAGTCGGCTGACAGAGAGAGCATTCCTTTTTGCAGTAAGGATATCGTTCATGCAGCTGAATGCCCGCTCACACTCACTAGTGGAGACAGCGATGGTTCGGACTGCTTTCAGTAGAGGCTCCATGGCAGCAGGTGTACGGGATGCCCTGGTTTCCTTGTATTCGCGAAAGCCCTGAACAGTCTCTCTTCTGTCCACTTTCAGCACTTCGCACAAACGTAGCACCTCTACGTCCCCATACTGTACGTCTAACTCCTCTTCAGGCCAACTTCCAGGATGGATAACTTTCATGTCCTGGATTAGCTGATTGTCCCGGGCCTCCCGGCCATGTAATGGGATTTCTCTTGTGCTGACATGAGAGGAGGTTGTGGAAGTCATTCTGTGTCTCAGATTCTCTACCATACTGCGGAAAAACTGACCTGCATGAATCTGTACAAGCCTGCCATTCTCACGCAGGGCAACACCCTTGAAGGACTTCTCAGCTAGAGCTGTATGAACTGTAGTCATGTGTGGGCCAGGCATGGTGACCATGGATTCAAAAACTCGTATTTCTCGAGTTAAGAGCCTATCTGCTGTAGGCAGTGTCATCTCTCTTTTTTGGAGTTGCCGAGAGAGGTCGCTGAGCTCTGTGAGCGCATCGTACATCAGTCCCAGATTGCTGACAAACGTTGCAGATGTGAGCACATCATCCAGGCCCTTGTACTTTGCTCTGTCTCTGGAATCCCTGCTCGTGTCGTTTGCAGCATTTGTGAAGTGATCATGAAGCACTCGGTAGTTTTCCCGGACTGCTCTGACGCTCCTTTCACTTGAAGCCACCCAGCGGATGGACAAAACACGCCCTATCACCAGGAGACGCTGTCCGACTGCTTGCGCACACTGCGCTAACTGCCTCTGATTTTTGGGGGAGGCATGGAACAAGGAATAGAGTTTGTCAAAAAAGATCTGGAAATGATTGAGCCCTGAGACCTCCTTGACCACATCCCCAACTGCCAGCTCTAGACGATGATTGGAGCAGTGCCACACAAACAGGCTTGGGAATTTACTACACAACTGGGTAGCAACGCCTGTTCTCTTCCCTAGCATGACTGAAGCCCCATCACATGCAAAAGAAACGAAACACTGACCTAAAAAGTCCTCGTTAAAATCTCTTCCAAGACACTCCATTAACGCCTTTGTGATGTCATCAGCCGTTGTTCCATCCAACTCGATCAGCTCCCAAAAAAACGTTTCGGGCTCAGCATCAGCTAATGCTGAGCGTAGACACACAACAAGCACCGTTTTACCACTAATAGTGGTAGATTCATCGACCAAAACACAGAGTTTGCTTTGGTTTTCTGTAATGTCTTTTGCTATTTTTCTTCAGCTCATGAGCTATGTGGTCGATGATTTCGCCACAGGTTTTATTGGAGTGCAAAACCCTGCCCACGTTCAGCCCATTCAGTTTCTGTACATTCAAATCAATTGGCATGTCTGTGAATGGCCGGCTATGTTTGCCAATTTTATATGCCGTTCGAAAAACTCTGATAGTGGTGTCTAATTCAGATGTATGCATAGACTGCACTTGATGTTGAATAGTTTCACGTGAAGCAGATGTAAGGATGTCAGCAGCTTTTACATGGGCTTGTGATTCTTTATGTTCTTTGATTTTTTTTCTCAGGCTAGCTTGTTGTTTGCCCTTGTCAACACCGAAATGAGACACTGCACACTCACCCCATTCAGTTGACAGTTTCAGTCCTTGTCCAGTGTGTATTCCCAAAGATTTGACATCTCTGCATATCCGACATCCTAGCTTCTTATCTTTAAGAAGGAGCCATGCATTGGTCTTGCAAAAATATTGCACCTGGTCCGTTGTCCAGCAGTCAGGTGCATCGCTTTGCCCGGTGTTGGTGGTGGCAGTTGCGCCAGCAGCAGCTAACGTTAGAGGCTCTGGAGGAGGCGGCGGAGCTAGTGCTAATGCTAATGCACTAGAACTTGGAGCAGGAGGATCAACCAAAGAAAGCTCCCCATCAGACACAATTTCCAACACAGGCACAGCATTCTCTGTATTTGAAGTTTCTTCCGGCGACAACCGCTGTCTTTTTGCACTTTTATTAATCCACGCTAACATTTTAGAAATGCTAATTTGTGACGTGACTTGCTTTCCTTCTCTCGGGGGCGTGCCTGCTCTGTTCTATCACTCTACATAGCCACCCACTGGGTGGGAGTTGCACTGCATAAACACAACACACGTGCATCTAGGTATGTAAATTGTAAAGCATTAAAACATGGTTTTACTAACAGTTTTCAGTATGTTGTTACTTCGGCATTATTATTATTATTATTTTGAAACGTGTATTACTATTAAATCACGGTCAAATAGGTTAATTTTGACATAGTCGTTTCCACCACAGTATTTACATGGAGAAGATAAGCCCCGCCCCCTCTCCAGCACGTTCTGTTTGAATGACAGGAGTAAACAGCTGACAGCCGCTGTGAAACTCCAGCGGTTAGAGCGATGAGAATGTCCGTTCGGCACCTCATGACGCATCTACTGAGTACCGGGCGGCTGTATATATATATATGGATATATAATAAGAACGGCGGGAGAGTGTTGAGTACTGGCACGGTGCATGAGTACCGCCAGCATGCCGGTACTGAGCAAGAAGTGCCGGTACTCCATGGGTCAGAACCAGAAGTGCCGGTACTGCGTACCGGTGAGTACCGGCCCAATTCCAGCACTGGTGTTCTGTACTACATGCGTTTTACCCTTAACCATAGACTGTATATATATATAAAGGTTTTACCTTTACCCATGGATGCACAATAAGAACGGACTCGTATCGCCTTGCCGTTCGGGTGTTCAGAGCAGAGCTCCCTGTTGGAGCGGCAGAGCGTGATGTGAACAGAAAAATGTTTCTGTCGCAATATTATTTAAAGAATCGTTGAGCTAGCTAACTAGCATACATTGTCACTATCTGCTAACATTAGCTTTAGCTTTCGTTTTCTAATAGTTTTTCTCATAGGCTATAAACAGAATAGATCTTGTACTTGAGTAAAAGTAGAAGTACCAGAGTGTACGAATACTGTTACAGTAAAATTCCTGCATTCAAAATGTTCCTCAACCAAAAAATGGGTTCAGAACATTACAATGTGTGATTATTCTAATAGCTTAAAAATACATGTGTAGATGCTCTGATACAGGGAAACTTGATAGATAAAATTAATTAGCAACATTAAAATATTCTGTTTAATCTTGAGTAATAACAAATGTCTAATGTGAATTATAATTATACATTAGCCACTGGTGCTGAATGCGTTCTTCTTCATATGCTTTTGTTCATATTTAGTAATTCTATATTGATCTTTAACAGATTTTCCCAGGGACTGCAGCTAATGCAAATTGACTTGCTGCAGGATGGCGTGGCAGGAAGCAGTCGCACGCTGTCAAAAATTAGCCTGAAGTTGAGGAAGGTCTGCAAGAGTGCAATCAAGAGGAGAGAAAGGAGGGGAAAGCAGAGACTTGGAGGACCAAACGAATTTGTCATGCTGGACGAAAGCAACTTCTACCACAAAAGGAAGGTGTGTATAAACTACAGAGCCTTAGCCTTTGGCCTCACTAAAACTAAAACCTTTGTTTTTCAAGGTGAAATAACAACATATATTTTAAGGTCAGAGATTAACAAATGAATGAGCAAAGTAATGTAATTTTATAATTGTGTCATTCACACCCTTGTGACTGGCGAGACAAAGTATACATTAGAGAGAGCCAGCTCCACAGTGTATACACAGTCAAATAACAGAAAAAAAGGATTTAGAAGCTAAGAATGATCTCATCCAATCAGATCATTAAAGGTGGGGTAGGTAAGTTTCAGAAACCGGCTCGAGA